TTAAATTTAGTTGGTGCGGCTTATATTCAGGTGCACTCAATAGTCCGGAAATTACGGTAAAATACCCAACTTTACACTAGAAATGTCTCTAGCTAAACTGTAGGGGACAATTTTATACAACTCACCCATTTAAATTATATTAAGTCGTGCATAGTTTGGGAATGGTCACTTTAAGTAAGAGGTGGGTTTGTTCCTATTTCTGGATGTGTCAGGAGCCGCACAGTCAGTAATGTCAACATGGCCTCCACCGGAGCACACTGAAGTCCACAACCACTGGATGGCGCCATTTTTAATCATATGTTTCTATGTTTACAGACAGTTTGAGATTGCTTTGTCTATTTGCATTCCATAATTTGCAGTGTGTTGACCTCTCAGGGCCACATACAGAAGGCCCACTTCCCTTGTGAATTAAATGTCCTGAAAGGGCCCTCTTGAGGTCCGCGGGCCGCAGGTTAAGAACCTAGCAGCCTGGGCCTGTCTCTGTCCATGGTGCCTAAATCACACCCATAAAATCACAGCCTACAGAGTCCCAAAATAATCAAAGTGACTGATTTACAGTAAGTGGAATTAGTATTTGATACTCAGTTCAACATTGTGTTTCCCTTTGTGCCCCCACGCGCTCTGTATCGATCCCCGGGGTGGACGCACAGCTGATGTGGGGGCCGGTCCCTCCAATCAGCTGTGGCTCTCCCTCTGTCCTACGATATTCTCGCGTGTTCTGCTCACGGTGGCTTGTTTTCATCATCCCCACAGCAGCCCCGAGCTCTCAGTCGGTGGGCGAGGGAAGGAGGGAGGAAGGGAGGGAGGTGCGCACGTAAGAAAATGGACTGCGCACATTCCTCGCGGGCTCTCGCATCGACCGAGCTGACGGCGTCCTCTTCCTAAAGATGCTCGACGCGGATGCTGCAGGAAGGAGCGGTTTTGCCAGAGGAGCGCGGTGCCGTGCGTCGTGGTGGTTCGGCTTTTTTTCCACGCAGCTGTCCATCCTCCGACCAGACGGCGTCACATGCAGCCGAAAGGCGCTTTAACGCTTCAGAAAAAATGTCTTTGGGCGCCCGCCGCAGCCGACAGGGTTTGGACCAGCACCGGAGGCCAGCATGCCCGGATCAGAGGACGCTTTTATAACGCTTGCGAATCGTATTTATTAGATTTTGGCACTTAACATACATTTAAAGGTAAGCAGAGGCATTTGCATCGACTTGATATCAAACGTAAAAAGGCTCATGTATTGATCTAGCAGCATCCTCTTGTTTCTGTTGCTTTCTCTGGTCATCAATACCTTATTTATAGCTTCCACATGACCTCAATACACAACTTGCACTTCCCCTTTATCTGTGGCTGACATGAGCATTGTGCACTGTGTGACAAACTGGCATTTAGCAGCTGGAGTTGAGGCTTTACTGCGTAATATGAAGTTGGTAAAGGGAAGTCTCTTTAGGACAGGTGGATGCTGGTGGAGAAAATAAAATAAAAATCCATCAGTCCTTTTGATTTCCTCCCTTCTGTCTCTCCAGACTCGGTCATGGGGGATGAGGGCAGCCTGTCTCGGCAGATAGGGAGTGTGGAGAGGAGCGTGGTGTTCCTCAGGCAGGAGCACCTCACTTTACTCCACGGCCTCCACCTGGAGATCCTGTCCCTGCAGAAACGATGCTCAGGTGAGGGACACACTGCTGCTGCTGCTGTGTGTGAGTGTCTGTGTGTGTGTGTGTGTGTGTGAGAGGGCCAAGAAACTTTTTCTGACCCTCAACATTTTCATTGAGGTATTTTCTGACTTATTTAAACTACTGTTCCTCTTTACAAGGGTTTATGTCACTAGCACTAAAGAAGAGTGAAGAGATGAGCTTTATTTTAACTGACTGACTATAATCTGCTCATTTACTATTTGTTTTGTCATCGTCATTTGGCATCTTGTTTTGAAATTGACAAGTTATTTCAGTTCTAATGAGCTCACATTTAATCGGCGTATTCCTTTGTGTTGCTTACTTTTTCTTTTTTGGTGCTAGACCTCTCTCATTGACCCCCACTCTACCCTCAGAGAGAAGATTTACTAAGATTTTTAATTACAGACCTGATGTGTTATTGGAAAGAAGAAAGTTTCGTGACCTTCTTTAATGAGTTTTTTCTTACACATTATAATAATCCATCCAGCCTTCACATGGATATCCTTCTTATTGTATCCAGGTAGAACCTTAAATCATTTAAATCTCATTTTTACTTTGACTTTACTTTTACATTTCACCTTCATTCGATGGACCACAGACATGTATTTAATTCTGGAGGGAACATAAGCTGCTGTGGTGACTCTGTGTTTAGTTACAGTCCGCAGTGCGGTTATTCAATTTTTTTAAATTTCAAATAGATGAACTAAATCTCCCCAAGACCCATATGTGTGCACATGGGCCTCATTGTTCATCTAATCGTGTGTGTCTGCTCCATCAATCAATGCCAGACAGTGACTACATGGTGATGTCATGCTACAATTCCTGTAGATTGCATCATTTCCTGTTTCATGCCTAATGGATATGGTGTCCATTTAATCAAGCAAGCAAGTGCCTATGAACACACACACACACACACACACACACACACACATTTGTATTACCATACTTGTGAGGATATTGTATTTAATTTAATTAATTCCCTGGAGGATTTCCTTATAATTACTGTTAGCGTTACACGCCTGAACCGACCTTAACCTGCTCGTAATTGTAACCTAAAACCTTAAAAACCAAATCTGTAACCTGTAAAATGAAGAGTTAACCTTGTAGGAAGGAGAATCCCGTTATGTGACTGAATAGACTAATCCTTGTGGAGAGAATAAAAAAAAGTACACACACACACACACACACACACACACACACACACACACACATACACACAATCTGTCCTCAGACAGATGCATACAAACATATCCATCATGGTTAATCCACAGATCCCATAGCTTTAGTTATTCATATGAACAGGATTGTGGTTAACAAATACACAGGAGGGGAGGGTGGAGGGGGAGGGGTTTGTGTGTGTGCGTGTGT